GCTCCTCGAGACTAGCAGAGACCTTCTGCAGAAATATGTGCTGGATTGTATGTACTCCCCCTTCACCAAAATCACATCTAAACTGACCTTCCCGCTGCCTCTTAGGAGCAGTTTCTCAGAGCTGTCCGAGATGCTGTCTCCTGGGCTATAGTCCTCATTTTGCCCCGAATAAAACTTAATTCACAACTCTCACGTTGTGCTTTTTTTTTTCTTTTTTTGAGTTGGCAGGGGTCATGACCCACCTGTCCCTTCAGGCTTCATTCCGTGCAGGTATAATTTTGTAGTGCCAGAAGGGTGCTTTGGTTCCCTTTTCTGGAGATTCTGATTTGAACAGAAGCCTAATTCAGCTTCTGACGGTGGTCTTCAGGAATGTGTGGGACCAGCATCCTACTCTACATTTTACGGTCGCTGCACTGGCACAGCTGTGGTTGGCATGGCCTCAGCACGCTGCTCTGCTGGAGCTGTCATCACAGGCCACAGCTTCTCTGCTGGACCGTGCCGCACCCTGGAGGCTGAGCGACCTCAGAGGTGACCGTAGCTACAAAAGCCTGAGAGGTTGGCCTGGAAAGCCGTCCTGGACCTGCTGCTCTGCACGCTTCTGCTCAGTCTCTGGGCTCTGAGCCTCCTGGGCCTCCTTGTTTCTGACTCTGTGTCAGGTATGTGCGCCTGGCTGGCCCCTCTGTTTCTGCCTAGCCCACCTGGGTCCTCTGCTCCCCCCGCCTAGGTAGGTTCCGCAGCACAGCACCTGGACCCCACCCCGGCCAGTGCAGGCCCCAGAGCCAAGCCCAATGTTGTTTTTCTTTACTGCTTGCTTTTTCCTTTTTTTCCTCTTACTTTTTTTTTTTTTTTGGCCTCGCCACGCTGCATGCAGGATCTTAGTTCCCTGACCAGGGATCGAACCTGTGCCCCCTGCAGTGGAAGCGCGGAGTCCTAACCACTGGACCGCCAGGGAAGTCTCTGATTCCTCTGACTTTTAAAAATTAATCTCGAGGGCTTCTTTGGTGGCACAGCGGTTAAGAATCTGCCTGCCAATGCAGGGGACACGGGTTCGAGCCCTGGTCCGGGAAGATCCCACATGCTGCAGAGCAACTAAGCCCGTGCGCCACAGCTACTGAGCCTGCACTCTAGAGCCCACGAGCCACGACTACTGAAGACCGCACACCTAGAGCCTGTGCTCCACAACAAAAGAAGCCACCGCAATGAGAAGCCCACACACCGCAACAAAGAGTAGCCCCCGCTCGCCACAACTAGAGAAAAGCCCGCGTGCAGCAACGAAGACCCAATGCAGCCAAAAATAAATAAATAAAAATTGAAAAATATATATATTAATCTTGAACTCTTGAAGAGGGAGTTCTTAATTCCTATTTATTTTATCTTTAGAATTTCTTCCTGCTTAGTAAGCGATGGCCTTTTTACTTCTTGGAGTGATGACAAGGGGCCTGGAGTTTCCAGCAGATTAGGAGCTGCTAAGTGGCTTTGTGGGTGATTTGGGGCAGAAGGCATTGTAGGAGTGGGGCATGGCTGGGATGGGAGGGGTGCAGGGCAAGCATGTGGACAGTGTGTGTGACACAGGTCACTAGGGCAGCCTACCATGGTGTCGCCATTAGGTTGGCCTGGGGCTGAGTCACAAGAGTTACTCCAATGACAGTGATGTTCGTATTGCTGGGAACTTGCCGGGCACTGGGCCCCTTGCAGGCCTTCCCCACTGACCCGTGCAGCACCGTGTGCAGCCCTGCTTCTACGAGCTCCACTTTCAGCCCCGGAAACTGAAATACAGAGCGTTTAAATGACACGGCTGAGGTCACACCGCTGTGCATGGCCAGGCTGGTATGAAGCTTGGCCTGATCAAAGCCTCTGGGCATCAGTGCTGTGTCCACTCTGCCTTCCCTCCCGGAGGGGCTACCCTTCCCACCTCCCTCGGCCTCCCACCCCCCCATCCTCCACTGTCCTTCCCCGACATCCCTGATTCTCCATAAAACATCTACCTTTTTGTTTCTTTTTAGCCACGCTGTGCGGCTTGCAGGATCTTTGCTCCCTGACCAGGGATTGAACCCGGGCCCTCGGCAGTGCAAGGGCTGAGTCCTAACCACTGGGCCGCCGCGGAAGTCCCAAACATCTACCTTTTATTATATCTACTTGTTTACCTGCTGTCCAGTGGGCTGGCCCACACTTCACCCTGCGCTTTGAGGAGGGGAACACATCCCAAAGTTCATGAGCGGGTCTGAGTGCCTCACAGTGGTCCGTGTGGTCCAGAACTATGTTCCGGGTCATATGGGCATGGTGCACAGCGACTCACACCCCAGACAAATGAGCATAACCCACCTGCACACAGACTCACGCACACACACAGACACACGTGTGCGTATAACCCCCAGAAACGCATAAGCACACATGTGGATGCTCACACACACGTAGAAACATGCGCATGCGGGCGGCGCCCCCCTCCCTGGGCTGCAGGGAAGTGAAGCCCCTTGGGGAAGTGAAACAGCTGGGAGCCTGGGCTTCCAACAGGCCACTGGGGGGACAGAGTCCATGGTCACGGTTGCTGAAGCTGCCCCGAGGTAACTGGGGTCTCCTGGGTGGGGTCCGGGGCCAAGGCATGTAGGTGGCTGGTGGCACTGCTGACTCACCTGGGCGGGGGCCCTGCCCGCGGGGTGACTCCCCGGGGGGTGGGGTGGGGGCAGGGCAGCCTGGCTGCACCACCTGCTGCAGCCCAGAGACATGACTCAGGCTCACAGATGCACCGATCCTTTCTTCTGAGCCTGCAAACAAGCTATTTTTGTAGAGCTTTTATGCGCCTTCTTTTTTTTTTTAGAAATTTATTTATTTTTTATTTTATTTATTTTTGGCTGTGTTGGGTCTTCGTTGCTGCACACAGGCTTTTCTCTAGTTGTGGCGAGCGGGGGCTACTCTTTGTTGCGGTGCGCGCGGGCTTCTCATTGCGGTGGCTTCTCTTGTTGCGGAGCACGGGCTCTAGGCACACGGGCTTCAGTAGTTGTGGCGCGCGGGCTCAGTAGTTGTGGCTCATGGGCTCTAGAGCGCAGGCTCAGTAGTTGTGGTGCACGGGCTTAGTTGCTCCGTGGCATGTGGGATCTTCCGGGACGAGGGCTAGAACCCATGTCCCCTGCGTTGGCAGGCGGACCCTTAACTCCTGTGCCACCAGGGAAGCCCCTACGCGCCTTCTTCTAAAAGGGAGGGAGGACATGAAGTGGGCGTGTGGACGGGATGACCCCTTCTCTGTGCGGCTGGCTGCTCCTGACCTGCGCTGGACACACTTCGGTCTGGCCGGCGGGGAGGAGCCCCTGGGTGCTGGGCACACAGATGCTCCGGGGTCCTTGGAGAGGACAGAGTGGGAGGTTTGGGGGTGGCGGCCCTTGTTAAATGTCATTGGGAGAGGGAACAAGGGGCGGGCCGTTAGTGGAGGATGTTAGGGGGCTGGATGGCTCCGTGATGGGGATGCACACACGTCACTGTCCTTCTGCCTGGACATTTCAGCTTTGCCAAACACTGTCAACCGAGGAGAGATTTTAGGACCTGATGAAGTGGCAGGGATTCTCCGAAAGCCCAGCTCTCGGATTCGGGGTCCAGCCCTGCCACGCTGCCGTCCCAGTGGATGACCATCTGGTTCCTTCTGAAAATCTTCCCCTGCGTCTCCCGCTGTGGTCCGGTATAATCATTGAATAAATACCTAGAATAATTGAGAGCCATCCCTGGAAAGGACCTTGGCCAATGTGTCCTGATGACGACCAGACTTTCCAGTTTTGTTGTATTGCTGTACCTCTATTTACTTAACATTTTTCTTTAAATTAACTGCTTGAAGCTTTTTATTCCACCTGAACAGGGATGACACATGTATCACACTTTGAGAACCACTGACGTCGTCCAATTCACCCTTTTCTGCAGGTGAGGAAACAGACCCACAGTCATGAAGTGATTTGCCCAAAGTCTCACCAAGACGTGCTAATTTGGGGCTGGGCCTGGGGTCGCCCCATTTACGGTTTTGATTCTTTCTGGTAGAAAGCATCATACTCTCATGTGTGCAGAAACGATTCCTAAATGTGGCTCCAGCGGTTGGCCCAGGTCAGGGTCCGCCCGCACCAGCCGGGGCACTTCCTTCCCTCTTCCCTCAAATCCCTGCTCACTGGAGGCCTGGAAGCTCCTGGAATCTTCGATGCTAATATTCTGAAATGGCAGGAGCACATGTCGCTGTTGAGTGACTGTGCTGGGTGCCTGGCAGGTCCTGCCAACGCCGGCGGTGGGGGCAGGTCTTCAATTCTGGGACAATTTCTTATAGTATTTATTTCCTTTTTTTCTCCCATCTATTTTTTCTTTTTCCTTCTGAAATGTCTGTTATTTGGGTGTCGGATTTCCTGAACCAATATTCTTCTCTGCTATTTTTGTCCTACTTTCTAAAAGCTTCTCTTCAGTTCCATCTTTTAATATTGCTCGTCAATGTTTCAAATTTCAGCATTCATGTTTTTAATTTCTGAAAGCTCGTTTTGTTTATGTTTTACACAGCCCTGTTCCTGTTTTAGGGACACATAACTTTTCTCATCTCTGTAAAGATATTAACTATGGTTCTTCTGGGCTTTCTTTCGTTTCCTGTGCTAGTTCCTTCTCTGTGTTATTTTTTAAGTTCCTTTGTTATGTTGGAGCCTTTCTTCATAAGCCTCGTGATCCTCTGCTCTCCGGTTGTATTTAAAACTGAAACACTAAAAATCCGATTTCAGTGTCTTCCTGTGCATGTGAGCAGGGCTCGCGGGGGACAAGCCCTGGTCTGTGAGGCCTCGTGATGAGCTTTTATGTGGGGAACCCCCCCTTGTCTGTACCCAGAGGCCTCTTCTCTGGGATCTCAGAGAAGCAGAAGCGTCGTGTACATGCTGCCTCCTGGTCATCTGAGTATAGGATGGGAGGAGGGCAGTCCAGCTTCAACACTAAAACCTTCAGCCTCCCCCCTTCCCAAGTCTCCAGCAGAGCGATTTCCTCTTCCAGGCATCCCAATGTCTGTGTCAGGGCGGCCAGCCCTGTCCACGCTGCTGCTGGCCGTGGCCATGTCTTCTTTCCGCTCGGCCACATCCGGAGACGAAGCACGAAACCGGCTGTTGATGAGAGAGAAGATGATGCGTATCGGGGGGCCGCTGGTGCTGAAGCAGGAGGAGGAGCTGGCCAACCAGAGGCTCGGGGCCCTCAAGGAGGCTGAGATGCAGGAGGCCCTGTGGGCGGGGAGCATCCCACCCAGCATGCACTTCTTCCAAGCCAAGAGCCTCATTGAGAAAAGTGCAGTGTTCAACATCCTGAAAAAGATGCCAAAAGGTAGGTGTGTCTAGAGGCGACGGTTCTGGGCTCCTGGGGACACAGGACGGACTAAACCGGAGCCGGTGGTTCTTGTTTCGAGTGGAGCCCAGACTCCACTGGGGCGCTGAGCCCTAGTCCTTGCTGGTGGACTGGTGGCTGCCGTCCACCCTGAAACCGAAACGCTGGCTCCGAGGGGACTCGGCCTCAGACAGATGGCAGGGAGGGGGCTTGGACATCACCGGGCATCCCTGGCGGGGCTGGAAGTCTGTAAGAACCCTGTCCCTCCCTGCATACGTTCTTCTAGCCTTTCCGGGGGCTAAGTTACTGAAGAGGACGCGTCCTGGGTAAACAACACGTTTCTAGTTCTTCGTTGCTACTGTCCACTGGGAAAAATGCACAACGTGAGAGCTGGGAGTTAAGTTTTATTTGGGGCAAAATGAGGACTATAGCCCGGGAGACGGCATTTCAGAGAGCTCTGAGGAGCTGCTCCAGAGAGGTAGGGGGAAGGTCAGTACCTACGTGATTTTGGTGAAGGGGGAGTCCATGCAATCAAGCACATGTTTTTGGGTTTTTTTTGCGGTATGCGGGCCTCTCACTGCTGTGGCCTCTCCAGTTGTGGAGCACAGGCTCCGGACGCGCAGGCTCAGCGGCCATGGCTCACGGGCCCAGCTGCTCCGCGGCATGTGGGATCTTCCCGGACCGGGGCACGAACCCGTGTCCCCTGCATCGGCAGGCGGACTCTCAACCACTGCGCCACCAGGGAAACCCTAGGCACATGTTTTTTGCAGGCGGTTTCTGCTAGTCACCAGGAGCAGATGTCACCAAGAAGGATCTTAGTGTTTTTGTAAATAAGAGGAGTTCATTTTTCCCAGAGCACAGAGGGCCTCATTTCTGATCTCCACCCTGAACTCCTTTCAGGGGGTGTCGAAGGTCAGCAGCTGCAGCGGCTCATGATGTAATCCTTGTAGAGGTAGATGGCAAGTGCCAATTTGCAGGTGACGCTACTGTATAAACGCATTGCTGTGAACAGTAGAACAATCAGGATCCTGAACACGTAACTTGCAGCTGCAAGCTTTCTATACTTTTTTTTTAGTATTATAGAGATTAAAAAATGTAAAAACTGTGAGGTTGTAAAGCAGCCTCCCTGTTTAGAGAGGGGACACGCCAGAGCTCGCACAGCGGGTCACCTGCCAGGGGGCCAGTGTCCAGGCCAGGTGCTCAGACGCAGCTGGAGGGCAGAGGGGGTGAACCCTGAGCCTCGAGTCAGTGTAAGGTCTGAAGGAGGCCAGAAGCTGCAGGGCTCGGCAGGAAGCAGGAGGTGGGCAGGCCGCATGTGGGGTGATGCGGAACAGGATGGGGGACTCAGGGACCCTGGGTGAACAGGCTGGCGTGGGTGGGTGGGGGTGGTCTTCTCACGCCCCTCACGCTGCACTGGGCCCGGAGGACTCATCTGGGGGTCAGGCTCCCCATGGGAGCTGGAAGCCAATAGACGGAGCCCAGCTTTCTGATTGCAAACCCGCCTGCGGCCTCTTGGATGAGATCACCCAGGGCTCCTGCTGGTGAGGGACGGAGTCAAGGAGCCAGGAGGCCGGGCCACCCCGGGACGAGGCCGCCACAGAGGGAAGGGCCCCGTGTCCCCAAGAACGTGGCCCCATAGAAAGCCGTGCCCCTCTCGTCCACCTCTGCTGGGCTCTCGGCCCCGAGCCCCGGGGTCCGGCCTCTGCTGCCCTCGCCTCACCCCACCCGCCCCTCCCCCTGCAGGGGCTGCTTTACATGTCCACGACTTCAGCGTAGTCAGCGTGGACTGGCTGGTGAGAAACGCCACCTACAGGCCCCACTGCTATTTCTGCCTCACCCCGAGGGGGACCCCGCAGTTCAGATTTGCTCGCTCGACTCCCCCCACCCTGAACACAACAGAATGTCCCGAGTGGGTTTTGCTGGAGAAGTTTCGAAAGGGGCTGCCGAACATCACCGAGTTTGACCACAGGTGGGTGGTGGTTCGGGAAGAACCCGTCTCGCACCTGCGCAGGTGGGGTTGGCGTGTGCGCTGTTCCCGTGGGACAGACCCTTCTAGAAACACCTGGCGTTTAAAAAGTCAGGAGGCCTTTTCTCTTAACTTTATGGGATCCTTTGCTTCACCAAGGCATTCAACACCTTCCCCATCTGCAGCAAGTTCCTGGTACGTTTAAAACCCGATTTGACCAGTGACACTGCTGCTGCACCGAACGGGATTTGTCTGGACCCTCAGTAAGGCCGGAGACAAGGGGATTCCCAGCTCCTGGAGCCAAGAGGGCCCAGGATGGATGAAACAGCCTGAAAACATGATGGCCAGCTTCCTGACAGACTTGTATACAAATATTATAATAACTATTCTAATCGTAGAACCATCTACAGAGGACTTTCTTGAGGTATTTCCTTGATGAGTAAGAAAATGCAGCTCAGCCTGCATTTTAAGGAGGTTGCCTAAGGCCACACAGCTGGTAAACGGCTGATCAGGGAAGTAACCTGTGTCCTGTACTGCCAAGTCCACAACTATTTCCATGGGACCTCGGGCTTGAGTTTGCTGGGGCTGCCACAATGGAATACCACAGACGGGGTGGCTTAAAGAATACCAATGTATTTTCTCACAGTTCTGGAAGCTGGGAGTCCAAGATCAAGGTGTGGGCAGGTTTCTCCAAGGCCTCTCTCCTGGGCTGGCAGATGGCCGCCTTCTCACTGTGCGTGCACCCCTGGGGTCTCGGACACCAGCCCTACTGGGTCAGGGCTCCACCCTTACGACCTCATTTAACCTTAATTACCTTCTGAAAGTCCTCATCTCACATTGGGAATTAGGGTTTCAGCATATGAATTTTGGGGACACGATTCAGTGCATAGCACCCTCCAAGGAGAGCTTGGTCTGAGATGTCCATTCAGTGGGGTCAGCCTGGCTAAGAGGCCAAGGGGGACAGCAGAGCCTGGCTGGTGGGAGCATCCTGCCAGGTGTCTCCTGGGGAGCACTTGGAGGTCCCAAGGTGGGGGGCCTCCATCAGGGAGCCTGGGCAGGAGTCCTACAGGCCGGGGTTGACAGCCTGCAGCAAGCCTCTGCCCAGCCTTTGTATCCTGACAGCCTGCTGAGGAATTTCACTCTGATGACCGAGAACCCCCAGGCGACTTATGCAAACCAAGACGTGGTCTGGGCCAAGTTCGAGACCATCTTCTTAGCGATCGCGCGGGCCTCGTGAGCTACGCCCCGGTATTCAGAGACTACATCTCCCAGGGCCTGGAGGAGTTCTACCAGGACAATGTGCTGTACCTGGAGCTCAGAGCCATGCTGTACCCGGTGAGTCCATCTCTGCTCAGGCTGGACTCTCTGTTCTCACCCTGTAGGGCTTCACGGGCTCCCCACCCTGTGCTGCACAGGACCGAGGGCCGGCTTCACTCCCAAGGGGCCTGGTGACTTTCCGGCGGCCATGTGAGCAAAAAGCCCTGGGCGGGCTCTGCAAAACTGGGCATGTGCTCCTCACTGCCCGTCACCTCCCTTCCCTCGTGATCCCCACGGCCCAGCTCCCCCCAGACGCACAGGGCCTGCTGATGCCTGGGCACCTGCCCTGGACTCTGGGCAGTGCCTCGTGCCCAGACCATCCTTGACCGTCTCCTTTCCTATCCAAATGCGCTACTGTGAGTCCCACAGGACGGTGCCCTTGGTGCAAGGCCCACTGAGCCTTTCATCTGGTAAATGGGTCTAGTTGCAGGTAGAGTGAGGTCTGGTCAGTTCCTGAGGGCCCTCTCTGTGGAGCACGGAGTCTTCTATGGGCAACAGAGACATTTGATTTGACTTTGAGGAAGAAAGGTCAAAGAGAAAAAAAAGGAAAAGATTGAGAAGAGTCCAAAAGTATCCCAAAGCGTCAAAATATTAACAAATCGCTCACTAGGACCTTGTATGTTGGCCAGAAGCAAAGGGTGATGGGGTCTCAGGTACCTGAGACGGACCGACCTCAGCTTTGCAGACCTGAGCTGGGGGAGGCAGCGGGGTGGCTGGGGCTCCAGGCTGGGGAGGCGTCCCACAAGGAGCCCGGGCGGGCCAAGTGCTGCCGTGAGAGGACCCTTCTGGTGGGTATGGAAGAGGACTTTCCTGAGGACTTTTGGGGGGAGGTGGGGATTGGGGGTTGAGGGAGTAGCCGAGGTACTGGAAGGCTCTTCCAGTACCTTTAGGGGGCTCACAAGAGTGTGTGCATTGCGCTGTAGGGGAGCACACTCGCCCCCAAAAGTGTCACTTTGGCAAGTGGATTATTTGGGGCTGAAACAATCAAGGCCCAAAAGACTGGGGAAGAGCCTCTGACCTTCCCCCTAAGTGACGAAAAGCACTAAAGGGCCTGTTCTCAGCATAGAGCCGCACCAGAGTCTCTGCAGAAAATACGGCTGGGTGTGGTCGGGGGACCCCTCAGGGCCTGGACACCAGAGTCCACTCTGTCCCACTGTCCCTGCTGGCCCAGCGAACATGTGTTTCCCAAACACTTGCTTTTCATCACCCTGTGAATTGCCTTCCTCCCCTTTGAAGTCCCAAACCCCTACCCCCAACATCCTCTTTTGTCTTGAGCTGAAGATGGTATTTAAGGTGAGGGCTTCAGCCATTTGGGTGAGTGGCTCAGTCTTCCTGGGTCTCTCCCACGTAGAGCTGTTATTAAACTTTTGCTAGATTTTCTCCTGTTAATCTGTCTCATGTCAGTTTAATTCTCAGACCAGCCAGAACCTCGAAGGGTAGATGGAAATGTCTCCCCCTACACCCCGACTGTTGGCCAGTTGGCCTAGGCAGCTGGATTCAACTTCACTGGCTGGACACCCCTGGCCCCAGTCTCCTGCATCTCAGAGATCCTGGCAGAAGGTGAGAATCCTTATCCTGTCAGTTTGCTGGATCTCTGCCTGCAGGGGCTTTTGGAAACAGGAGTGGTAAGAGTCCTTTTTCTCTTTTCTAAAATAAGATTAGCAGGAGAAAATATTTGTGGAGCTAGCTCTTGGGCCTTAGGGCCTCTGCGCCAGTGAATTTGGAAGAGAGCTCTGGGCTTGTGAATCCTTTTCCTCCCAGAGATGGTCGCTGTTTTTCTGTGTTTCTGTCTTTTGTGTCATAAGGAGGAAAACCATTGGTCTGATTGGTTTGACTTTTTTCTTGTTCTATGTCTTGAGAGTTTGGCCTCAGCACCAGTGAGAAAACTTCTCTGGTCCTGCCGTCTGGAAGGAGCAGGCACCAGGGCATTTGGTGACCAGTCGGATAGACTGGGATTTCTAGCTGTCACCTCTGGTCGGAAGCACAGGCCACACCTGGGCTTGCAACCAGCGTCCTTGTCCGACTGTGCCGGCTCCCCGGGGGTTTGTCACAAGGGGTCTCCGTCCACAGGGGTCCTCTGTCATCTCAACCTTCACGGCCGCCTTTGCTTCCTTAGACCATCCTTGGGGGCGAACTTTCTGGAGCTTGTGAGGCTGTGTCCTTTGCACTCTCCCGCGACACCTCTTTTGTTCATGGTTAAGCCACAGAAAGCCTTATGGTGTGAGTTGGTATTACGACCTTACTGTCAATGGCCAGAGGATGGATACTTTGAACTGGAAAAACTTCTAAATTGGTAAATTTTTTAGAGACCTCTCCTTGTAAACACCTGTTTTATTGGTACCAATGTTAAGACCAAAAGGTTACCTTAACTCAAATGAACAAAATGGTTTGGGAAGCCGTATGGAATTCAGTGTCCTAGCTTCGCCTCGTGGGTCTTACAGATGCTAATAAAAACGGTCCATTAATTAACAAGGGAGCGAGAAGAACGGTGAAGTCGGGACTCTTTCCGACAAGGTAGACATCTGTAAAGGGTTATTAAGGGGAGAGTCGCAGGACTGGTCCCAGCAGTGTGGGAATCTATAGGTGGTTATTAAGAAATGGGATGAAGGGCTGCCCTGGTGGCGCAGCGGTTGAGAGTCCGCCTGCCGATGCAGGGGACGCGGGTTCGTGCCCCGGTCCGGGAGGATCCCACGTGCTGCGGAGCGGCTGGGCCCGTGAACCGTGGCCGCTGAGCCTGCACGTCCGGAGCCTGCGCTCCGCAACGGGAGAGGCCACGGCGGTGAGAGGCCCGCGTACCGCAAAAAGTTGAGATGTGCTGTGCGTAGACACACCTAATTTCGGAAGACATTACAAAAAAAAAAAAAAAAAGGGATGAATACAATGGACATTGATGGGATTGAAACAAAGGTTTTGATAAGAGCACTACCCAAGGCTGGGTGGGCCAAAGGGACCCCCCACCAGCATCCCCCAACATGAAAGGGCCCCAAACAAGTCCTTTCTCTTTCCCCCAGTTTGGAGAAATTTAAAGGCCAGGACGCAAAGGTGACACCTAATAAGCCGACCTGCACTCCCAAGGGCAACAGTCAGGCTGATTAACCAAGTTAAAGATTGACAGGAGGGCCTGGGTCCCTGGGATGGACTCTGCACTGGGGACCCAAGGCCTTTGACAAAGGAGGGTGGAGGGAACTTCCCCTGACCCCTCGATGCGGGAGCCCCAGGAGCTGTGGCACCAAGACCGCTCTTGGAGCCGAGTTGGGATGTGAGGGTAGACAAGGTTTATAAAGCTTGGAATGTTTGAGGAGTGTTTGATGGGAAGAGATGTGATGTCCAGCTGAGAGCGCTTCCCCGACAGTATCCAAACTGGTCTATCCATTCATCCAAATTATTGAGTGTGCCAAGGCCTTGCCACACTCAGTAATTTGAACTGACTTCAAGGGTGGCACTATTTTGGTTTTGTTACCATATTCCGTGGTCTTTATTGGCTCAGAAATTTTACTGTTTGTACACCCAGAAGTAAAAGGGCTCCAGAGGACTGACACACATTGACCAAAGTCATAAGAGACAGATGTATACACAAGAAAGTCAGAATGCAGTTTTCAGAGAAAATTATCAATCAGACCGGTCACGTATGCTTCCCCATCAGTAAATTCTCTCTTGAAGACAATTTTTTTTAATTGAAATATAATTGATTTACAATGTTGTGCCAGTCTCTGCTGTACAGCAAAGTGACTCTGTTTTACACATATATACATTCTTTTTTTTTTTTGCAGTACGCGGGGCTCTCACGGTTGTGGCCTCTCCCGTTGCGGAGCACAGGCTCCGGACGCGCAGGCTCAGCGGCCATGGCTCACGGGCCCAGCCGCTCCGCGGCATGTGGGATCTTCCCGGACCGGGGCACGAACCCGTGTCCCCTGCATCGGCAGGCGGACTCTCAACCACTGCGCCACCAGGAAAGCCCCAACATTCTTTTTTTTTTTGAGTATAACTGCTTTGCAATGTTGTGTTAGTTTCTGCCGCACAGTGAAGTGCATCAGCCATACACAAACACACATCCCCTCCCTCTTGGACCTCCCCACTGCCATCCCACCCGACTAGGCCATCACAGAGCACCAAGCTGAGCTCCCTGTGCTAAGCAAGTTCCCTTTAGCTATCTATTTCACACATGGCAGTGTATTTATGTACATTCTTTTTTTAATACTCTTTTCCATTGTGGTTTATCCCAGGAGACTGGATATAGTTCCCTGTGCTCTACAGTGGGCCCTTGTTGTCTATCCATTCTAAAGGTAACAGTTTGCATCTCCCAGCCCAACCCCAAACTTCCCGTCCATCCCTCCCCCGCCCCACCATGGCGACCACAAGTCTGCTCTCTACGTCTGTGAGTCTGTTTCTGTTTTGTAGGTAGGTTCATTTGTGCCATATTTTAGATTCCACATATAAGTGATATCATATGGTATTTGTCTTTCTCTTTCTGACTTACTTCACTTAGTATGATCATCTCTAGTTGCAACCACGTTGCTGCAAATGGCATTATTTCGTTCTTTTTATGACTCATATTCCACTGTATATATGTACCACATCTTTATCCATTCATCTGTTGATGGACATTTAGGTTGTTTCCATGTTTTGGCTATTGTGAATAGTGCTGCTATGACCATAGGGGTGCGTGTATCTTTTTGAGTTATAGTTTTGTCCGGGTATATGCCCAGGAGTGGGATTGCTGGATCATATGGTAGCTCTATTTTTAGTTTTCTGAGGAACCTCCATACTGTTCTCCATAGTGGCTGCACCAACATACATTCCCACCAACAGCGGAGGAGGGTCCCCTTTTCTCCCCACCCTCTCCAGCATTTGTTATTTTTAGACTTTTTAATATGACCATTCTGACTGGTGTGAGGTGGTACCTCATTGTAGTTTTGATTTGTATTTCGCTAATAATTAGCAATGTTGAGCCTCTCTTCATGTGCCTCCTGGCCATCTGCATGTCTTCTTTGGAGAAATGTCTATTAAAATCTTCTGCC